AGGAGAAGAAGAGGAGCAAAGAACAGAAGACCTATTTGAAAAAGTCATGATGGAAAACTTCCCTAATTTGAGGAAAGAAAAAGTCACACAAGTCCAGGAAGCACAGAGGGTCCCATTCAAGAGGAACCCAAAGAGGCCCACTCCAAGACACATCCTAATTAAAATGGCAAATATGAAAGACGAACAGAGAATTCTAAAGGAAGCAAAGGAGAAAGAGGTAGTAATATATAAGGGACCACTGGTACAGCTAGCAGCTGACTTCTCAACAGAAACCTACAAGCCAGAAGGGACGGCAAGATATATTACAAATAATGAAAAGCAAAGGCCTGCAACCCAGACTGCTTTATCCCGCAAGGCTCTCATTTAAAATGGAAGGCAAAATAAGGAGGTTCCCTGACAAAAGAAGGCTAAAAGAATACATCTCCACTAAACCAGCATTGCAAAATATGCTAAAAGGACTGCTTTAAGATGATGAAGAAAGAGTCTATGAATACCCAGTTCCTTTCACAGTCACCTATACTTGATATTACCAATATTTTTAATACTTACTAATCTGATTGTGACAACGATGTGTTATATTAATTGTTACTTTATTTGTTGAAACTAAACCTGTTTGGTATATTTCTTGCGTATTTCCATTTTTTTTAAAAAGCTTTAAATGACTTTTTGGTATTCTTTATCCATTTTTTGATTAAATGTTTGTAAAATTTTTTCCCTAAAAAACCCCTATTAACCCTTTCTTAGATGTGTTGTAAATACTTTCCTATTCTATTACTTCTTTAACTTTTTTATAGGTATATAAACTTAAATGTTTAATAGAATTATATTGTCAATATGACTATGTATTTTACTTTATAGCTTCTGGGTTTGAATAAGTTACTTTAGGGTAAGGAAAATATTATTTTGTATTTTCTCCTAAAGGTTCTTAGATTTTACATATTGATTTTTAACTTACCTGAATATTTTCTTGTATAATATGTGAAATAGGTGTCTATACTTGTTTTATTTCAAGTAATAGTGGTCCATGCACCTTATTTGTAGAATAAGCCTTATTTTCCCCATTGATTTGAAATATAAATTTAATCATATGTCACATTGTTAGATATATACTTTTGTTTCTAGAATGCTCATTTTATTTCATTGATCTACTTGATTATTTCTGTGCTGGTGTTATGTTGTTTTAATTGCTGAGACTTTATAATGGATTTAAATTTTTAAATATTTTATAATGGATTTTGACACTTAAAAAATAAATATATAAAATCTGTATTTAAAAAGAAAAAAAAGAAAAAACTCCTACCTTTTGCAACAACATGGATGGAACTGGAGAATATTAAGCTAAATGAAATAAGCCAGTCAGTGAAAGACAAATACCATATGATCTCACCTATAAGTGGACTCTATTCAACAAAATAAACCAACGAACAAACAAACCACAGGCATGGAAACATGGAGCAGACTGAAAGTGTCCAGAGGGGATGGGGAAAGAGGACAATGGTGGAAAGAAGGAGAAGGGAGCAGACAAAGAATAAGTACGAATGACCCATGGACATGGAGAACAGAGTGGGAATTGACTGTTGGATTGGGGGGGAGGGTGCGATGGGTGAAGAGGGTAAAGGGGGAATGATTGAGACAGCTGTAATAGAATAAACATGATTTAAAAATAAAAAATAAAGAAAATTTTAAAAATTTGTCTAGCTGTAAGGTTTTCATTCACAAATAACCTGAATAAAGGCAAATTTGCACATTCATATCTATGAATATTACATTAAAATATTTATAGAATACCTCATTCCACAAAAAGGGAATGAGAACTAGAAACTGGATAAGGGAATATAAAAAACAACCAGAATATATAATTAGATTTATTCTGTTGGTCTGCCAAACAATAAGACAGAACTTCCCAACTTATCTGTACTGTAATATCCCAATCAAACCAGTTCTTTGGCCAGACTTGACAGTCTTTTACTTAATTAAATTTATAAAATGCTCAAGGAACAGATTTCTTGAGAAATGACCAATTATGACTGTATCAAGCATCTCTTCTAAAAAGTGTGTGCCTTTCAAGAACAAATAATTTTAGTTTAATATGATCATTGAATCACTAATTTTCTCAGGAAAAAGAACTAAAGTTGAAGAAAGTAATTAAAACCAGATTCTGAAAAGTCAATACTGACATACAGACACTCAATCTGCATGCGTTGTGATATCCAGTAAAACACTAAAATGAGGTAATCTTTTATTATTATTATTATTATTCTATTAATGACTCTTGCAAAACCTAACCAAGATAAAAATGTTTACTTCCTCATTTTTGTCATTAAGTCATTATATGTAAGATAAGTTTTCAATGTCTATGCTAAAATAAGAATCTCCTATAGTTATATTTTATAAGTAACAAGAAAAAGAATTCCTGATAAATTGTGGATAATTCAAACATCTCAATTTAATCACCTTATTTTACTCTCTTCCCTTCTCATTTGTAAATCCTGATAAGAAACTGTGGAATTGACTTATGTGTCACTTTCTCCTCCCCTCTTCCTTTGTTTTGTTTCTTTTGGGACTTAACAATTGGGCTGAAGGTGGCACAGAGGAGAAAGATTACCGCATGCCCAGAAGACACACACACAGTCTCCAAAACCAGGATAAAGAGGGATGACAAGAGAGAAAAACAAATTTGTGAATGTGAACAGCTGATCTTGTGTGACTAATAATTAAATGATTCCATATCTCTATGTTCCTGTATTCCCCCATTTTTCTCTTTTAGATCACTGAAAATAAATATTCACCAATTTTTAAAAGATTGCATTCTTTAAGCTATGCCACACTCAGCTTTTTGATCATATAGTTAGCATATGGGTAAATGCTTTCATCTGAAACCTCAGAGCACCACCCTGGCTGGTGTGGCTCAGTTGGTTGGAGTGTTGTCCCTTAATCAAAAGGTTGCAGGTTCAATCTCCAGTCTAGGCACATGAGATCTCCTGTATAAACACGTGTGGAATCAAAGCGTCTCTCTCCCACCGATATTTCTTTCTCTCCCTTCCTCCTTCCCTTCCTTTCTCTCTAAAAAAGCAATGAAAAAATATCCTCAAGTGAGGATTAAAAAAAAAGTTTAAAATCTAAGAGCACCTAAAAATAGTGTAATTTTCAGTCTCCAATGAGTGAAAATAAAAATGCCTGGAATCTACAGACTCAGATAAATGGCAGAAGGTGCTGGATTCCTGATACTTAGTCTTAGACTTTGATCATCACTTTCTCTTCCTGGTGAGCATTTAAAAAATTAACAAGTAATGGATATTAAGGGGTATGTCATCAACCATGGTGGATTTCAATACTCTGAATGATTCAAATGCAATTGATTACCATGTAAGAACTATAATTCCATACTGGAAATATTAATAGTTAACTGTTTTATTTTAATGACCTTTGCTCTATCACCTTGTCAAAGACCTTTTGAAAACCTGACTAGATCATATTTGTGGATCAAGTTTTATATAAGTTGCATGTTTAACCCTTAAAGGAACAGCAATAGTTAAATCATGGTTTAGCCTTGGAGGAACCTTTTAGCTTTTCCTCCTACTGGGTTACATGCATCTAAATGTTTTGTAACCCTTTTTTGTTGTAGAGTTACAATCCTGTCCTATATGGATGTCGTTGACCTCTCTGTGATCTTTGTTTTAAAGGATAATGTTTGTTCTTTTTAATTCTTTATACAGCTGAATATACTAGTAAGTACATTTCTCAGGAACTTCTTAGAACCTTAATACCCAGGGTCTGAAATCGGGAAAAATTCACACTGCTTGACATTAACACCTCTTAAAGATTTCTTAATGGTACTACGATTTCCTTTAAGTATGATTACACTGTCTAGACACAATGAAATATAGGAAAAATAATTCAAAAACAATTTTTCCACACTAAGTTATATTGTCAATCAACCATTTAGAGCAGCAGTCCTCCATTTCTACTCTTCATTTTCTTAAACCGGAGAATTATACACTAATGCCTACAGCACAATTTGACCTGGCACCTTCTATAGCTTACCAATTTATATAATATTTTGGTATTCTCTTATTAGTTTTGTTATAACTTCTTGTAAAGTCTATTTCAAATTCATGAAAGAAAACTTCATTTTGTCATGGTCTGTGGACTTGTCATCTATCAATTGTATTATCTTTCTGCATGTGAGATAAATCCTTTTCCCTCAATAAGAGAGTTCCTTTCTTTAAAAAAAAATTCCTACTTTAGCCTCAGGTTTTCATAACTAGGTTATTGGTTCCCTTTAGAATGTTACCTTCCATGATTTTTTAATAGGTAACCAGATTTTATCCAAGTTCAATACATGTATGACACATGATTCTTGTTTTCCTATCTTATCAATATGTTGAGATGTTTATTTAATGTTATGTTGTGCTTTGCTCACAGTAGCTACTGTGTCACTTCCTACATATTCCTCAAGGCCCTGTCTAGGAAATTTATCTTTTTCATAAGTTCTTAAAGTACCAAATGAACATATAATCATTTATCCTCCCTAGTTACTTATTTTATGCTTTCCACTCTGGTAAAGTATGCTACCCACTGTCTTTGGGTAACCTAAGTTCCTAATTTTTAAGTACTTGGAATGATTTTTCAAATTCTTCCAATTTTCATGGTTAGACTATATAACATTTCTATATACAGAACATCTTCTTTATATGATAACAATTTTACCATATTGCATTTCATCATTCTCCAGGTAACTGCCTGCCTGTCCCTATTTATTCTACAAGTCTGACCATGGGAAGGGAGAGAGTAGACAGAAAAATAAGAAAACAGATTTTCTCAATCATCTTCGGCTGAAGAGACCTGACTAAAAGTCAGGAGCTGATCTTGCCTCAACCAGCATCACGTACGTGTTGGTACATTTGCAACCCATTTTTTTTCCCACTGTGACCTGCAAAGTTTAATTTGCGCTTAATTTTCAATCTTAACTCTTTATCAAAGTGACTTAATTATCTTACCTGAATTCCAGCATCAGTGATTTTATGACACTCAGATAGAGAAAGTTCCTTTAATTTTTTATGTCGGGAAAGTATCATCAAACTCTAAAAATATTTAAAATAAAGATCATTTTGTGGTTATAATTTAGTTAGAAGGTATATTCCCATATAAGATAACAGGGATTTATACAAAAATTTATCTTCTGTCATATTTCTTTACATTTAACAAATCATAAAATACCTTGGTTAGGCAACATCATTAAATAAAAATTTCAGGTTGTCTCTATCTAATGTTTTGCAAAAAGTGCCCCAATATCCCAGAGCCAGAAAATTTCTTATCTTACTACTTGTTTCCAGGTAAATGTTACCTAAATCAATATAAACAAATCTTCAAGACTCCCAAACAAACAACTTTATTTTGAAGACATTTCATGTGGCTAATGAATCAGTTTTTAAATAAATTCTTATTTATGCCTCACTTAAAAATCTAAAAATCTTTAGCTGATTTTATTATCTTTAATTGCTTGAAAAGAAGGAAAAGATCTTTATGTAAGGGCCTGTAGACAATCAACATTCATCAATAGCCCACTTCTTTTTTCAATTAAAAACTTTATCTGGGAGAGAAGATGGCGGAGGAGTGAATAGGAGTCACGCTGACCTCCTCCCAGGACCAAACTGGAATTGCAACTAAATAATGGAGTAATCACCGGAAAGCAGTGGAGCGATAGTGGGAGAGGAGCTTTGGTGCCACAGAGAGTGGGTTCTACTCTCACACATCCCAACGGGTGAGAAGTGAGGTGGAGGCTCAAGAGGGTGGGCTGGGTGCCCATGGGCACTTGGCACCACAGGGACATTGAAATGGCCAGCTAGCTTCCCCCGAGAAGAACGGGGTCTGAATCATAAACAGGAACCCCTAAACTACAGCAGCTAAAACCAAGAAAATACAGACAAAACGCAACCCCAAAAAGTTTAGGGGCGCTCTTTGCCAGAGACAGGTAGCTGGGGATGCAAAGGGACATTTAAAGGGAAAACGCAAAAGTTGCAGTGGCAGCCACCGTCCTTGATCTCTGGGTAGAAGCGGCAGCAGGGTGGGCTGGTAGCTGGGAAAAGACTGGTGAGGAAAACTTTGTGAAGAGAACTGACGTGGCAGCGGCCGGTGGAGCCCCGGTGATGGCGCACCTCCCACTCTGCAGCTACCATCTCACTCAGGCATAAGGGATTAACCTGCCTTTTCTGTGCTCACACACAGCTTGAACGCGTGTGAGCTGCGGGGCTGAGTGCAGACTGGCTGGGAGAGCCTTGAGGAGAGACTGGAGATGGAGGCGTTGGAGAAAGAACGGGAGGAGGAACCAGGGAGCCCCGACTCCCTCCCCTTTCTGTAGTCTCCATTGTGGGCTGGAAAGGCGGGCCCCCAAAGAGACAGAAGAGGGGTGCGCAGGAACCAGACTGCCTGCGATTGAAACGCAGTCCGCACAGGGGGTGGATCCTTGGCCGAAGGGGTCACAGAACTGCCCAGAGACCCCTGAGGAGAGTCTGGAAACGGAGGCGTTGGGGAAAGAACGGGAGGAGGAACCGGAGAGTCCGGACTCCTCCTTGCCATAGTCTCCATTGCGCGGGAAGAGGCCACACCCCCAAAGAGCCAAAAGCCGAAAAGCACACATAGACACCCCAAAAACACCCAGTGCAGGCGCGCACACTTGCGCCGAGTGACCGGCACAGGCTGGCGAAGGCTTGCACCTGCCGGCAAGGCCTCCCACAGATTGGCACTGATACGGGCTGCGAGAGAGTGCACAGAGCGGCAAGGGCAGGCGTAAATTGACCAACCCGCCCGCAACTGCGGAGTGGCCCACAAAATTAGTAGAGCTGCCCAGAGTCCCTGGAGGAGAGACCAGAGACAGGATTAACCGGAGAGTCCTGGAGCTGACTTCCTCCCATTTCCGTAGTCCCCATTTGGCGAGGGCAAGCAATGCACCCAAAGAGCCAAAAGCAGGGAAAACACACAATAGAAGACCCTAAACTGACCAGTGCCACGGAGCTCACCGGCCCAGGGGCCAGATGAGTATGCAAGGTCGCGAATAAGCCCCCAGGTCTAGGGCAAGCACATGCGAACCCAGGCAGGCGGAAGATCCTGCCGCGCCCGGAGCGTGCTCAAGGAGCCGACGTGAGAGTGCGGAGAGATCCCAAAAAAACAGCCCAGCCCTGACCGAAGGGGTTACAGAGCTGCCCCAAGCAGGAATCAGACACAGACAGTAGACTCCTGGAAGGCTCAAACAACCCAAGGTCCTATAGGGTCAACAACTGCCATCATCAGAGGCAGGCCCAGAAAGAAAAGTAAAGGACAAAAATACTTAACAGACTCACACAAAAATGGGAAGAAAAAGAAGTTCCCCCCAAATGAGTGGAAAAGGGGACTCCCCACAGAGAGAGCTAAATGAAATAGAGGCAAGGGAACTATCAGATACTTAATTCAAAACAATGGTTCTAAGGAAGCTCAATGAGCTCAGCCAGCTCAAAGAGAACTATGAGAAACTGCAGAGAAATGATCAGGATCTTACAGCCAACTGTATCAGCCTGGAAAAGGACATAGAAACTATCAAGAAGACACAAGAGGATATGAAGAATACCATTTCTGAATTGAAGAACACAGTAGAAGGAATCCAAAACAGGCTGGATAAAGCCGAGGATAGAATCAGTGAGATGGAGGATAAGGTAGAAAGAAGCTCCCAGAAAGAAAAAGAAATGGAAAAATGACTCAAAAAGAATGAAGAGGCATTTAGGGAAATGCAGGACAACCTGGAATGCAATAATATCTGTATAATAGGGATACCAGAAGGAGAAGCAGAGGAGCAAGGGATAGAGAACCTCCTCGAAAAAGCAATGATGGAAAATTTCCCTAATTTGAGGAGAGAAAGGCTCTCATGGATCCAGGAGGCACAGAGGACCCCACTCAAGAGGGACTCAAAGAGGTCCACTCCAAGACACATCATCATTAAAATGGCAAATGTCAAAGACAAAGAGAGAATCCTCAAGGCAGCAAGGGAGAAGGAGAAAGTAACATACAAGGGGACCCCGATACACCTAGGAGCTGACTTCTCAACAGAAACACTATAAGCCAGAAGGGAATGGCAACAAATATGCCAAGCCATGAAAAGCAAGGGCCTACAGCCAAGGCTGCTCTACCCAGCTAGGCTCTCCATTAAAATACAAGGGGAAATACGGAGTTTCCCAGACAGGAGAAGACTAAAAGAATACATCTCTACCAAACCAGCACTCCAAGGTATGCTAAGGGGGCTAGTTTAAGCAGATGAAGGAAAAGAATGAGACAGAGAGGAACACAGGTACAAAGAGAAAAGATGAGTAAGTTTCTATCAGTAATATCTCTCAATGTGAATGGACTAAATGCTCCAATCAAAAGACACAGGGTAGCTGAATGGATAAGAAAACAAGACCCACACATATATGCTGCCTACAAGAGACCCACCTCAGAGCAAGAGACCTACACAGATTGAAAGTAAAGGGATGGAAGAAAATATTCCAAGCAAATGGACAAGAGAAAAAGGCCGGGGTTGCCATACTTGTATCAGACAAAGTAGATTTCAAAACAAAGGCCATAAAGAGAGACCCAGAGGGGCACTTTATAATACTTAAAGGAAGAATCTATCAAGAAGACATCAATATTGTAAACTTATATGCTCCCAATATAGGAGCCTCCAAGTATATAAGGAAATTGTTGGATGACTTCAAAAAAGATATAGACAGCAACACACTGATAGTAGGGGATTTCAACACCCCACTGTCAAAAATGGACAGATCTTCCAAACAAAACATTAATAAAGATATTGTGCAGCAGAATGACACACTGAATCAAATAGGCTTAACTGACATATATAGAACCTTACATCCCGAAGAAGAAACATACACATTCTTTTCAAATGCTCATGGCAGTTTTTCAAAGATAGACCACATGATAGGACACAAAGCAAACCTGAGCAAATTCAGGAAAATTGAAATAATACCAAACTTTTTCTCGGACCACAAGAGCTTGAAACTGGAAATCAACCTCAAAGAGAAACTTCAAAAACTTGCAAATTCATGGAGACTGAACAGTAGACTATTAAACAATGAATGGGTCAATAATGAGATAAGAGAAGAAATCAAAAAATTTCTGGAAACAAATGAAAATGAACAGACAACAGTCCAAAACCTATGGGACACAACAAAGGCAGTCCTGAGAGGGACGTTCATAGCAATACAGGCTTACCTAAAAAAGATAGAAACATTTCAAATAAAAGATCTAACACTACAACTTCAAGAACTGGAGAAACAACAACAAATAAATTGCAGAGCAAGTAGAAGGAAGGAAATAGTCAAGATTAGAGCAGAACTGAATGACATAGAGACAAAAAAAGAAAAAATTCAGAGGATCAACTAATCCAGAAGCTGGTTCTTTGAAAAGATAAATAAAATTGACAAGCCTTTAAGCAGACTCATCAAGAAAAAAAGGGAGAGGACCCAAATTAATAATATCAGAAATGAAAGAGGAGAAATCACAACTGATACCACAGAAATACAAAGGATCGTCAGAAACTACTATGGACAATTATATGCCAAGAAATTTGAAAACCTGGATGAAATGGACACATTTCTAGGTAAGTATAATCTTCCAACACTGAAGGAGGGAGAAACAGAAAGCTTTAACAGACCGATAACAGCTGGGGAAATTGAAGCAAGTAATCAAGAAACTCCCGGCACACAAAAGCCCAGGGCCGGACGGTTTCACAGGAGAATTTTACAAAACTTTTAAGGAAGAGCTAACCCTTGTCCTTCTCAGACTATTCCAAAAAATCCAAGAAGAGGGAAGACTCCCAGACTCTTTCTATGAGGCCAGCATCACCCTGATCCCAAAACCAGATAAAGACCCTACCAAGAAAGAAAACTACAGGCCAATTTCGCTGATGAACATAGATGCTAAAATCCTCAACAAAATATTGGCAAACCGCATCCAGCAATACATTCAAAAGATTATCCACCACGATCAAGTGGGATTCATCCCAGGCATGCAGGGATGGTTCAATATACACAAATTAGTAAATGTGATACATCACATAAATAAAAGAAAAGACAAAAACCACATGATCATCTCGATAGATGCAGAAAAAACATTCGATAAGGTACAGCACCCATTTATGATCAAAACACTCAGCAAAATGGGAATAAATGGGGCATTCCTCAAAGCAATAAAGGCCATATATGAAAAACCTGCAGCCAATATCATACTCAAAGGGCAAAAACTGAAAGCTTTCCCACTAAAATTGGGAACACGACAAGGATGTCTGCTCTCACCGCTTCTTTTCCACATCGTATTGGAAGTCCTAGCCACAGCGGTCAGACAAGAAAAAGAGATAAAAGTCATCCAAATAGGAAAGGAAGAAGTAAAGCTATCACTGTTTGCAGATGACATGATAGTGTACATAGAGAACCCTGTAGACTCTACCAAAAAACTCCTCAACCTAATAAGTGAATTTGGCAAAAAAGTAGAATACAAAGTCAACATTCAGAAATCAAAGGCATTTTTGTACACCAGCAATGCAATAGAAGAAGAAATCAGAAAAAAAATACCATTCGATACAGCAAGAAGAAAAATAAAGTCCCTAGGCATAAATTTAACCAAAGACGTAAAAGACCTGTACGCAGAAAACTTACAACATTGAAAAAAGAAATTAAGGAAGGCACAAATAAATGGAAGCATATACCGTGCTCATGGATTGGAAGAATTAATATCCTCAAAATGTCCATACTACCCAAAGCAATTTATAGATTCAAAGCAATCCCTATTAAGATACCAGTGACATATTTCACAGAAATAAAACAGACATTTCAAAAATTTGTATGGAACCATAAACGACCCCGAATAGCTGCAGCAATTTTGAGAAAGAAACACAAAGTAGGAGGGATCACAATACCGGACATCAAACTCTACTACAAAGCCACTATACTCAAAACAATCTGGTACTGGCACAAGAACAGTCCCATAGACCAGTGGAACATAATAGAAAGCCCAGAAATAAGCCCAGGTCTCTATGGGCATCTAATATTTGACAAAGGGGGCAGAAGCATAAAATGGAGCAATATGAGCCTCTTCAACAAATGGTGTTGGGAGAGGTGGACGGCTACATGCAAAAAAATTGAAATTGGATCATCAGCTGACACCATACACAAAAATAAACTCAAGATGGCTCAAAGACTTAAATATAAGTCGCAACACCATCAAAGTCCTAGAGGAGAACTTTGGCAGGAAACTCTCAGATATCCCACGCAGCAATTTTTTCACTGATATGTCTCCTAAAGCAAGGGACATAAAGGAAAGAATAAACAAGTGGGACATCATCAAAATAAGAAGCTTCTGCATGGCAAAAGAAAACATCAGCAAAATGAAAAGGAAGCCAACCGTATGGGAAAATATATTTGCTAATGATACATCAGATAGAGGTTTGATCTCCAAGATATATAAAGAACTCACTCGACTCCACTCCAAGAAGACAAACGATCCACTCCAAGAAGACAAAAAATGGGCAAAGGACCTGGGCAGATGCTTTTCCAAGGAGGAGATACAGAGGGCCCAGAGGCATTTGAAAGGATGCTCAGCATCACTAGCCATCAGAGAAATGCAGATCAAAACCACCATGAGGTACCACCTCACACCAGTCAGAATGGCCATCATAAACAGATCAACAAACAACAGGTGCTGGCGAGGCTGTGGAGAAAAGGGAACCCTAGTACATTGTTGGTGGGAATGCAGACTGGTGCAGCACTGGGGAAAGCAGTGTGGAATTTCCTCAGAAAGCTGAAAATGGAACTGCCTTTTGATTCAGTGATTCCCCTGCCTGGACTATACCCTAAGAATCCCAAAAAGCCAATACAAAAGAACCTATGCACCCCAATGTTCATAGCAGCACAATTCACAATAGCCAAGTGTTTGAAGCAACCTAAATGCCCATCAGTAGATGATTGGATCAAAAAATTATGGTACATATACACAATGGAATACTACGCAGCAGAAAGAAAAAAAGAACTACTACCCTTCACGACAGCATGGATGGAACTGGAGAGCATTATGCTAAGCGAAATAGCCAGGGGGCGAAAGACAAATACCATATGATCTCACCTATAAGCAGAACCTAACCAACAGTACAAAGATGCAAGGAAAATAAGACCAGCAACACTGAAAGGAAAAGAAATCAACAGAGACAAGAGAGAAGGAGGGAAGGGGTTGCAGGGAAAAGGAAGGGAAGGGGAAAGTCAAGGAACATATAGCAAGGACTCATGGACAAAACCAAAGAGGAAGAACTGAGGGAGGGAAGGAAGGAGGGGGCAAGGGAAAGGGGTGGGGGGTAAGCAGAGACAAATGTATCTGAAATAATAAATTAAAATTAAATTAAAAAAGAAAGAAAAAAAAGAAACAAAAAAAAAATGAGTTGAGTATTGCAAAATCAAACATTCACCCAAGAGGCCAACCTAGAAAGTTGATTTGTCACTGTGGACCATACTTTTAAGAGATCCACCCCTAATGTGGTCATTGTGACAAATGAGGGAAGGGAGTGAGGCGGTGAGGGTACAAAATATATGAGACAATGTTCCTTATTTTTAAAACTATACAAATATATACCAATAAAATGTTAAAGAAAACAGGGTACGATTAAATCTCAAGAGTTCATCTTGATCTCCTCTTTCAGGTATTTCAACTAAAGATAAGAAAAAAGACAAAAACTTTATCTGTTTTTACAGTGAAAATAGATGACATTTTCAGTCCTTAAATTTTAAAGTTTGTTAAAAATTTAAGTGTAGTGTATGTTGGGAAATGTCCCACTTGGTTTCAGGGACTGTAGCCTCACTGATAGGCAAGAGGGCCCCAAGGCTGGAAATAATCAAGCAGGCCATGGGAAAACAGGCCACTGAGGAGACAAAACCTGTCCCCCTGGCTGCGCCCTGGCGCAGCCTCTGCCTCCCTCACATCACCCTGCTTGGCCTTGTGATAGTCGGTTAGTCAAAGATGGGTAAGTTCTCTCATGAGGAGAGACAACCTAAGACAGACAGCCGGTATAGGCAGCAAGAGAAGAACTTGGGGGACATGGAGAAAGGGCAAAATGGCCCACACCCCTCAGCTCGGCTTTGATGTGGCCAGGAGTCCTCATTCTATCTGAAAGAAGTCTCCTTATCTCTTGGTGTCTCTGCTCCACCTGCCGGGCTCTGGCTTGAAACAATACTAAAGGCAGGTACAGCCCTAAATTGGATTTGGCAGTTTTTGGGGGGCAATCAGGCCTAGAGGTAAGTTATACTGGGAAGGAGATTTACATTATTCATAGACCCGGACCTGAGGGAGATCTCTAGTGTTCCTTCAATTGTTATCTATGATCTCTTTTTGTTTTCTGTAAACATAGCCTTTTGACATTATTGATGAGCTTTGCATCCATACCCTTGTGCATATGGTTCTCAATAAAAGCCTTTGGACACAAGGGTTTGGGGCCTTCTCCCCTAGAGGGAAGAGCCATGTCCCCTCTCCTGGCAAATAGAGAAGTGCTTGCGACGACTTGTGTTTAATTCCCCTCATCCATGACAACCCCTGGATGGACTCTGCAGGATTCAGAGCCCTGCTCCCTCCTCAGCTGCCTCTGGACAATAACCCTCAGGTCTGGGAGCCCTGTGCTCCCCGTGACAAGTATATATATATAATATTATATTAGTTTCTGGGGTACAATATAGTAATTTGACATTTGCATACTTTGCAATCACACTAAGTCATAATCATCTGTTACTGTGCAAACATAGCACAATGTTACTGAGTATATACCCCTTCACCTTTTTCACTTGTACCACACAACCCCACCCCTCTGGAACTATCGGTTTGGTCTCTATTTCTATGAATTTTTGTTTTGTTTCATTCATTTGTTTTTGTGGGGTTTTTTATATAATATTTTTATATGTAAGTGAAAGCATGTGATATTTGTCTTTGTCTGACTTACTTCATTTAACATAATACCTACTAGATCCATCCATGTTGTAACATATGGAAAAATTCTATTTTTTTCTTGCTGTGTGATATTCCATTTACACACACACACACACACACACACACACATATCACATCCATACCACATCTCTCTTATCCATTTATCTATTGATAGATGTTCAGGTTGCTTCCAAAACTTGGCTATCGTGCAATGAACATAAGGATGCATATATCTTTTTTAATTAGTTTTCATTTTCTTAGCTATAAATGCCCAGAAGTGGAATTGCTGGTCATATGGTAGTTCTATTTTTAGTTTTTTGAGAAATCTCCATACTGTTTTTCATAGTGACTGCACCAATTTGCATCCTATTAATAATGCATGAGGGTTCCATTTTCTCCACATTCTTGCCAATGCGTTATTTGTTGATGTTTATTTAGAGGATAACCATTCTGACTGGTGTGATGTGGTAATTGTGGTTTTGATCTGCATTTCTCTGATGACAGCTCTTAAATTTTTAACCCATGGTTTTGCTGCCCCATTTCTTAGTACTTTCCTTCCTAAGCTGACTAATAGGCCCTATAGATGCCATCCTCCTTTTGCATTCAGGATCACAGTATTTTTATAATTCCATAAGATATGCTTCCTAGACTAGGTGTACAAGAGCAGTTTCTTCTCATTCTAATACCCCAGAACTGGTTGGCAGGCAAAATACCAATGACAGTATATGAATTTCTCCTTTAAAATTTTTTTTAGATTTAATTTTTATTGTATATTTTCCACTACCATTTAGTTCCTAATACTCCCCACTCCACTAGTAATCACCACACTGTTGTCCATGTCCATGGGTCCTTTTTCCTTTTGCTCAATCCTTCCACCCCCTAACCCACATCTTCCACTAACTGTCACCTGCTCTCATCAATGAGCCTGTCTCTGTTTTGCTTGTCAGTTCAGTTTGTTCATTAAATTCCACATATGAGTGAAATCATGTGGTATTTATCTCTCTGACTGGCTTATTTCACTTAACATAATGTTCCAAAAATATGAAACACTTCGTGAATTTACATGTCATCCTTGTGTAGGGACCATGCTAATCTTCTCTGTATTGTTCTGATTTTAGTAGATGTGGTATTGAAGCAAACACTCCTTTCAAAATTTTATTTGCAAGACTGGTTTACATTTTATTGATCTTCAACACATTTGAACCATCTTGAAAATTATTATTAAAATATTTTGATTTTTTTCACTGATGTACATAAAAATCCAGATCAAAGGAAAAAGTGCTTGGAATTCTTATTAAATGAATCCACTGTTTAAACGGCAATATCTAATTTTATTTAACATTTGTGAATACCACCCCAAAATGAAATCACTCTTTTCATTCTTTTAATTTTATTGCAAATGTGGGTTCTTTTGTTAAGAACAGAGTATGTTTTCTCCTGCCCTGGGTTTGTTTGTTTGTTTGTTTAAATTTTAGAGAGAAGAGAGGGAGAATGAGAGTGCAAGAAATATCTATGTGAGAGAGAAACATCTATTGGTTGTCTTCCACACATGCCCTAGGGGACTGAAACTGCAACCCTGACTGGGAATTGAACCAGGACCTTTTGATTTGGTGGGATGATACCCAACCAAGTGAGCCACACTGGCCAGGGCTCCCTCCTTGTTTCAAAACAAAAAATGACCAAAACCTGTGGAGCCATTTGCATGGGATCTGGGCTCCAGATGTGGGTGCTACTGGTTTGGCAAAAAAATTCATTTGCTTTTTTCCATAAGATGGCTCTAGAAGCACTTAGGTGTCTCTAACTTCATTCGAAACAATTTTGTTAGATTGTTTTGTGACAGCTGTCATATCAGCATGTTGCTTACCAAAGCTGGTGAATGTTTGTGTAGCCATTTTAATGTTGAAGATGGAAGAAAATATGCAACATTTTCTGCATATTATACTTTATTATTTCAAGAAAGATAAAACACAACTAAATGCAAAAAAGATTTGTACAGTGTATGGAGAAGGTGCTGTGACCGATAGCGATAGAACGTGTCAAAAGTGTAGTTTTGTGCTTGAGATTTCTGGCTGGTTGAAGTTGATAGCAATCAAATTGAGACATTAATTGAGAACAATTAATGTTATAGTATGCGTTGCGTAATATATACGCATATGTATGTGAATTGCATAATATATGCATAATATGTATATTATGAGATAGCTGACATACTCAAAATATCCAAATCGATAAAGGTAATTGGTGAAAATGAAAAATGTGTCTTTTATTTCACAGAAAATAATGAAACAGACCTTTTGGCCAACCCAATAATTTATTCATGATAGAAAAACTGGATTTATTTATTTAAAAATTTTTTTCTTTTATTAAATCTAGAGAGAGTGGAAGGGAGGGAAAAAGAGAGGGAGAGAAACGTCAATGAGAGAAACGTCAATGTGAGAAGCATCCATCAGCGGCTTCTGACACACATCCCAGCTGGGGACCAGGCTGGCAACCGATGCATGTGCCCCAACCGGGAATCAAACTGGTGATCTTTCGTTTTGCAAAATGATGGCCAACCGAGCCACACCAGCCAGGGCAGAAGAAGTGGACTTAGCTATTCCCCCAACAGAAATGATACATACTGTTTAAACAAAAATATTGAGAGATGCAAGGTTTGTCTCTTTGCTCTATACTTTTGAATAGCTAAATGTTTTATTGTATTTATTATGTTGCCAAGTTAGAATCTTTTAAGATGAGCTGGAAATGAAGTACGCTTGCTAATTATGATATTTAATGGTTTGTATTCTCTGCCACTTTATTGAAAATCACTAAAACTTAATATTCATTAATATTAAAATAGAATGCCATGTTTTATCATTGTAATTGTCCATTAAAACTTATGTTCCTCAAAATTTAATTAATTAACATAATAGGCCATTATGCAGCTTAAAACCACAATGAGATATCACTGCATACCTACAAAGACAGTTATTCTTAAAAAGACAGATAATAAAAAGTGTTGGTGAGGAAGTGAAGAAATTAAAACTCTCATTAGCTTCTGATAAGAATGTAAAATGTTCCAGTTGCTTTGGAAAATAATTGTAGTTCTTAAACTAAAACATACAGTTACCATATGACCCAGCTTCCACTCCTAGGTATATACCCAAGAGGATGAAAACATATGTCAACACAAAAACCTGTATACAAATGTTCCTAGCAGCATTATTTATAATAGAAAAAAAGTAAAATAAGTCAAATATTTCAAATGATGAAAGATAGATGTATTATATCCATACAATGGAATATTATTGGCAATAAAAGAGTACTGATGCATACTACTATAGATGAATATTTAAAACATAATGCTTAGTAAAAGAAGCTAGACCCAAAAGGCCACATAGTCTATGACTCCACTTATTTGAAAAGTCCAGACTAGACAAATATATAGAAACAGAAAGTAGAAGAGTGGTTGCCTAGGTTAGGCTGGGGAATGGGTCAGGGACAGGAAGTAACTGCTTATAGGAAAGTTTTTGGGGTTTTTTTGAGTGATGAAAATGTTCTAGAATTAGATTATGGTGATGGTTGCACTCCATCGATGTACTAAATCCATTGAATTATAAACTTTGAATTGGTGAATTTTATGGTATGTAAATTATATCCCGATAAAGATGTTTATAAAAATTGAAAGATATAATTGTATAACTAAACACAAATTTTAAATATTCCTACAACATTCTTCAGTCCAAAACGAGTACAGAAATTGCTCAGACCCGATGGCTATTCTATTAGCAAGACAAGGAGCAAGAGATGTCATCATGCTCATGTGCTGACACGTTATTGTAAGGCCCTGCTGCTGTAAGTAAACACACATTGTAACTATGCAGCAACAAATCTAAGCAAGTTGGAGGAGGCAAGGTCTCCACTGAAAACTGCCTGATGCTGGATATGGGAGGCCAGCTTCTTTGAACAAGTGAAATACATGATTTCAGTCAACAGGGTTCATTTTTTAAATGGCTTTCTGACTCAGAAGCTTTTCAGATTAGTGACCTAAAGAATATCAGAGCCAGCTAAGTAAAATGTTCTACTTGGCACCGGGAAGTTCATAAATGCTCCAAATTAACGATGGTTCCAACATTTTACAGACCTTCTTTATACCTTTAGAAAGTCTTAAATCTCAGTTCTGGGCAAAATTAGTTCATTCTTAATTCATATTCATTTGATGCAGCATGTATTTATTATACTGATCAGGCTCTGGGATAGAAACTGGGAGTATGTGTAAAAAGGTCAATGAGGTGCAGTGTTTGCTCTCAAGGAGCCTACAGTCTGGCATGGAAGACAGACATGTACAACATACTACAACCCAAGAAAAGGTAAACACTCTGCACAGTGGTGGTGCCAAAGGGAATGATGAAGCCAGCTACTGTGGATTAGAGAAGACTCCATGGCGGAGAGCCATGAGTGGGGAAGTGTACACAGCCAATAAAACTATAGAGAGGATGTTCTAGGCAGGAGGAACAGAACTTCAAAAGCAGTTAGATATAAAACAATATAGCATGGCCCTGGCCACATGGCTCAGTTGTATGGAGCATCGTCCCAGTCAGTGCACATACGTAGGTTGCTGGGTTCAATCCCTGGTTGGGGTGCACGTGGAAGGTAACTGTTGGATGATATGCCCTCATATCGATGTATCTCTCTCTCTCATAAACTGTATGGCATGTACAGGGAACTATACAGCATGGCATGAATAGCACTATGACAATATTTTTAAAAATATCTGAAGAACTGACCCAAGAATTTCTCTTAAGGAATAAACTGTGGGGTTTTGTTTTTGTTTTCTTTTGTTTTATACCTTGTTACATGCTTGGGATAAAAGTCCTGAAGGTTGGCTGGTGCCAAGCTTTTACTTCTGAGAGGGATGGTAAGAGGAGAGTGAGAAGACAAGAAAAATTAAGGAGGAATGAAGAACCAACAAGGTGGGGTGACTGAGTCTCAGTGGGGCCAAGGTCAGATGGATGCTCACTTTTCAGGGAAGTTGTAAAATCATGAAAATTTAGAGTTTCCTTCATTTCCTCAAAAGTCAGCCAAATACATGAAGGCTTTGCAGGAAAGGTTTGGGTTTTATTTTCCCAAAGGGTAAGAAGGAACAAAATTTAATCAGGTGAAGCACAGAAGAAAGCAGTGGATGTGGTAGTCTGGAGGAATCACCAGGTTTGCAGGTTATAAGAGGATGCGAGGCCCCAGCAATCCACGGGAATTCTGGTGAGCGCTTTGGTCCTTCGTAGGCCATGGAATTCAGGGACCTTAATCTGAGGGACCCAGGAGTCCCTAGTAATTGATGTATATTATACCTCTGATATCTGGTATTAGGTCCATTGAAGGGAATGTCAAGACATCAGACCCAAAGGGAAGTAGGTATCAAGTCATGAGAGCCTTGTACATTATTCTAAGAAATTCAGATTTCATCCTAAGAAACAGAGTTAAACAAAACTTTCCCTTAGTAGGCAATGTAAACTGGTACATAAAGAACATATGCAAAACAGACCAAGGATATAGAGGCCACAGAGCAAGGGGAGATTGCTTCCAGTTGGAGAAAGGTAGCAGCTTCAAATATACTTTCATGGACAAAGGAGAATTTAAATTGAGCCTTAAAGGCTGAGTCAGATTTTGACAAGTGACATAGGGGAACAGTTTTTCAGGCTGGGGAAGCAGCATGAACAAAGACTTCATTTGGAAAGTGTGAGTTGTTTGGGAAGTTAGTCAGTTTGGGGCACTAGCATTGAATACTGCCAAGAACAGTTACATGGACACAAGACACGTACAGCGGAAGCAGACAAGTCCTTGAAAGCTATTCTTTTTTACCCCCAATTTTACATCTGGAATTAGCTAATGAATATCACCAACATGAACATAAATCATCCCTCCCCTTTAATTTCAAAATATTCAAATCCACAGAAAATTTCAAAGAATGGTATAATGAACACCTATATACCCTAAATTCACCAGTTGTAAACATTTTGCCACATTTGCTTAATTAATTCATTATTAATTCATATCCATTTGATATATGTTTATTTGGCATGTATTTGTTACACTGATCAGGCTCTGTGTGTGTATGAACATACATAGTTTTATTAAATGTATAAATATAGTTTTATATTTATAC